GAATACCGAGTTCACAGTCAGAATCAAAGAAAATTACGAATTTAAAGTCAGAATTTAAGAAAATTCTCTATTCAAAGTCAAAATTCAAAAATAAAATTTACTAAATCATGGGTTTAAAGTCAGAATTGAATAAAGTAGCGGATATTAAATCAGAATTTATCAAAGTTTCGATTTCAAAGTCGAAATTCAGAAATAAAATTCACTAAATTGCCAGTTCAGAGTCAGAATTGACCAAAATTCCGAATTTTTAGCCAGAATTTATCAAAATTCCTAGTTGAAAGTCGAAATTCAAAATTAAAATTCACTAAATCACGAGTTTGAAGTTAGAATTAAATGAAATTCCAAATTTGAAGTTAGAATTTAACAAAGTTTCGAGTTCAAAGTTGAAATTTAAAAATAACATTAACTAAACTCCGAGTTTAGAGTCAGAATTGAATAAAATTCCGAATTTATTGTCAGAATTTTAACAAAATTCCTAGTTCAAAGGCGACATTCAACAGTATTCCAAGATTAAAATTGGAATCTAATAATAATGGGAAAACCAATGGTTCATGCAAAGGCGCAAAAATCATCTAAGTTCGAGTTTGAAGTTGGAGTTTCAATAAATTATAATTTGCCCAGGGAAAATATCATAATAAAGTGCTATTCGATTGATTTTTTGTAATAAATGCCATGTTTACTGTTTTTTTTTTCTGAATATAAACCAAAGAACACCTCCAGGCCAAGTGCCAGTCTCATTTTATTACCGTTCATGTTTTTTTTTCATTCCTGACATCGATTTTTATACGACAGTAAAGCAGGCTTCTTCACATTAATACATCATTTCTTTGAAACCAGGAACTGGAGTCCAAGTACTGTATCGTTGATCAATAGTAAACTGTGTATTTCTTTTTGCCGAATTTCGTTCCAAACTATTGTTTTGTGCGTAAACGGTTTTTCTAACCTCTCTCAACAGCTTTCAACGTTTAAACATTGTAAAATTTTCATCAACTCAAAAAATGCATAATCATAGTCAAGAACCTATAATTCAATTTTGTATTAATTTTAATGCTAGTTCTAATGCTGTCAGATATTTAAATAAAACTCATCTCTATAGAAATACACCCACTAAGCCAAATCAGCACCTTGGAATTCGTCTGCAATAAATTAATTTTGCGTGGTGGTCGACATCAAAATTGGTTTCAATGCAAAATTACCTTATTAAGTAGCTGTTTTTTATTTTGCCTCAATAAATTCTAACAAAGGTCAAATTTCAATACGGGTTTATGATCAATTTAGCTACTTGCTATTTTTAACTAGAGTAGTACCCCGTCATTTTGCGATTCACTCGAAATAACGTAGTTGAATGAACTCTTCAGAGAAATCAACGTATAAAGTTGTTTCAAAAGTTTTGATAGTTTTAATGCTACATATGTGAATAAAGATTTATATATACATTGATGCTGTTCATATTTTTCAAAATCCTAATTTTTTTGCCTCTTTTCAGCATATTATTATACGATATCATTAATCGATTATTACAACACATACAGGTATATCGTTTGAATTGGGAATGTTCCTCCTGACGAAAATCAAGTAGTTTTCATAAAAGAGCTCTGAAACAACGCATTTTAAAGGAATTCGTTTCTATTTCACCATTTGGCAATATCGGTTATAGCTAATAAAGGACAATGAATCTGTTACCTGTATGAGACAAACAAAGATGACATATTTCAGAGGCGTGCAGTTCTGTTTACTTATGTTCCGAATTCCGAGACATTCTGTGACATATGACCTAACCTATCTTCCTTTATATAAATAAATAACAAAACAACTGTTGTTTATGTGGCTNTTCTCTTTTCATTATGATCTCCTACCACGTAGTAACGGCTACATCCATCAATTTATTCTATCTATCATTTACTGTTTTGCAGGATGGACCATTCGCCTGGCCGGGTACTGTCCAAGGTATCCTCCTGAGCGCCTACTTTTGGGGATACCTCGTGGCCCAAATTCCTGGAGGCAGAGTAGCGGAGCTGTTCAGCGCAAAGTGGGTCATGTTTTTCTCGGTCGCTATCAACATTATTTGCACCCTTTTGACTCCCCTGATGGCTCAGCTTCATTTTGGAGCTCTGATCGCGATGAGGATAGGAGAAGGAATTGGGGGTGGCGTTAGTTTTCCCGCCATGCACGTGATGTTGGCTCACTGGGCTCCCCCCAGCGAGAGGAGTGTCATGAGCAGTATTGTGTATGCGGGGACAGCCTTAGGGACTGTGGTGAGTGATATGCTTGATTCCAGGAATATTCAATACCAAGTGTCCAACCTATATACAGTGTGGGGGTGGAAACACCCCCCTAAAATTTGAAGTTGTAAACCGATTTTAATAATTTTATTTTGAAATGTCAAGTATTAGAAGGTCTACCTTGGGACAAAATTTGAAATGTTTATTAAAGTTTCAGGGCATACTACGATATTTTTTCTTAGTCGCCAATCGGGATTTTTTATTAGCGATTTTTTTATTGAAAAAATCACTACGCCACTGGATTCAGAGTGCCTCTAAATAGGTGTGACCAAAATTTCATGAAAAAATATTCATTATTAACAAAGTTATGACAACTCAAAAATTCG